CATGGACCACCAGTGGTCCACGGACCACCGGTTGGCGACTGCTGCTCCAAAGGTTTCCTTAAACCAACGGTCACCAACCTTTCGGACCTCACGGACCACCAGTGGTCCATGGACCATCAGTTGGCGACCACTGTTCTAGAGAACATCACATCTCTAATTCCAGCCTTCTCCACACGCCTTCTTCTCCTCTTCCTTTCCAATCCCTGCTTGAACAGCACCTCCTCTGGGAAGTCTGCCCTGACTCTTCCTCAAAGTGGTCACTGTCCCCACCTCATTCTTGACCCTGTGCCCCTATGGACACCCACTGTGCTGACTGCGAATTGCTGGTCTGTGACTTCGTCTCCCACAGGGAGGTGCCTTGGGGCAGAACACTGTCAGAATCATTTTGGCATTCCCAGTCTTGAGCCTGGAGTTTGCTAAGTTGGATGGACTGGTGCCCTTTAAACACAACTTTAAAGGACTAGAGTCTTGTTCTAAAGAACTGTAATCAGGAGACAGCTGTGCTGAGGAAGGCCAATGACCCTGGTGCCTGCCTGAGTGGGATGAAGTTCTGGGGAGGCCCACAGCACACCCACCAAGCACCAGGCTTTTTGGCCCACATAGGCCTAGGTTCATCCATTTGTCCATTCCAGTCTGTTCCAGTGAACTCCATTAATTCATTGTGCAGGCAACATTTCCTATTCCAGGGGAGCCACCCCTTTTGGCTTGGCAAACCATGACCGGGATGGTACACTGAGCCCTAGAGCCCTGACCCTGGGGCAGAAGTTGCAGCCAGGAGGCCTAGGGATCCTCCTCAGAACACCCTGCAGAGGTGAACAGGTGGTGGCTCTCCTGATGTCCAGCCACGCTCCCAGGGGCCACGCGGCAGCCTCCTGTCCCATCAACAGCGACCTCACAGACCTTCTGCTCAAGGGCCTGCCCAGCAGCTCTCTTGGCACCTCTTCTCATACACAGCCCAAGGGACAGAGCTTACCACCTGCCCTTGTGTGGGAGAAACCAAGGCTGAGGGAAGTCTCAGGCAGATGTTTCAGGTTCAAATTCCAGCTCTAATGCTTACTAGTATGGAACATGGGCAAGTCACTGCTTATCCTCCAAGCCATGGTTTCCTCCTCTGTGAAATGGGGATACTTACTCCAAGTGCTGAGGTATAAGTAACAGCCAGCCTTTCTGGGAGCTTCCTAGAGCCCTTCTCTGACTGTTGCCATGGCTCCTCAGTGTTGGCTCCTTCTGAAGAGCAGGAAACAGAAGTTCCTTCTGGGTTTTTACTACAAGTACAATTCTATAGATTTCTCTTTCCCTCATCTGCCTAGAGTCCATTAAGTTGTGATTAGCAATTATTAAAAGATTATTAAAGATCACCAAAATTTGATGACCCTAAATGAAAATGAGCAGGATCCATGTCAGGTTTTGATTGAGAATCTGGCAGTGCCACACAAGTTCCTGGCACATAAGTGGACTCTCAGCAAGTGGGGTGGGGGGGGCCCATGGATATGATGAGGCTATAGCTGTGGCTGCCAATGGCTGTGGGTCTCAATCACTGCTGCTCTGGCTTTTCTAAGGTGAGTGTCTGCCCGCAGTTCTGTGACCTGGTTAGATTCATTTGCTGTGACTTATGTGGTTACCGATGAGAGGCAGTGGTGCCCATCACACCAGTGGTACTTGGGGCCTAGAGTTTTCCAGTGACAAGGCTGTAAGCTGTGTGTGCACTGTGGGCCATCCCCACCGGAGTGCTAAAGTAGACCACACACAACCCTCTCCAAACTGGCAGGTTCTGGAGCACCTTGTGTGAGATGGATCCCCTGCCACAAATCTGGGCTCCTCAAAAAGCTTGCTGCATCCTATCAAGGCACACAGAACAGCCTACTGGGTCATTTTAGGGTTAGGAGACTGTTTCAGAAGATGAAAGTGCATGCATATGTTTGCCTTCACTCCTAGAGTCAATAAGCAGGGATTCATAGTGACAAGTCCATTCATCCTCTCACTCTGCCCTTCTCTGGTTGGATGTCGTCAAAGAAGTTCTTTCCCCTGCACAGTGGATGTGCAGGGCTGGCAGGGGCTGCTGTCCAGCCTACCATCCAGGCTGCCTCTCATAGTGGGAGCTGGTGCCTGAGGCACTGACACAGAATGGAGGGTGGGAGCAGCAGGACAGCGCTGGCCAGGTGAGCTACAGAAGCCCAGGCCACTGTGCTTTATCAACCACTCAGCAGGGGGGCATCTCCCACCATGTGTGTGCCCCATGGTGCCAAGCCCCCTGAAGCCTGACGGCTCTCTAAGGGCCAACTGGGGAGGCAGATGCTGCACACCCAGAAAGACCCTGGGCAAGGTGCCTCCCCTCTGCTCCCCAGGCCCCACCTTGAGATGCAGATAACAAGACCCAGCTCTGACATAAAGCACCCGGCACCGAAGCAGCACTCAGGAAGCAGAGATGGGATGACACGGCAGGAGTCAGGCTGGTCTGGAGGAACCTCACCTCCACCTGGCAAAGTCCTCCGACTATTCTCTCCACCTGCAATGTGACCCAGAGGGCTCCTAACTCATCTCACAGGGCCTCCCAGCCTCACGGAGGCAACTTTGAAGGGAGCAGTTATATAAATGTGGGGCTTTTCAACCTTGAGGTCCCCTAAGACTTTCTGGGAAGGCTCCTTGGGTGACAGAATGAGCCATCCTTTAAGCCACTCTTATTTCCAAGAGTGTCTTCTGGGGAAGCAATGGGCCTAAGTGTCAGGACCCTGTCTCTTAGGCCTGCATCTACAGTGCCATAAAACACTGTTTGCATCTTACATATCAGCTTCCACTTCTGAATATGAGGTCCAAGTGTCCTTCCTGAAATTCAGGAGTCACAAGTCACTACAGGCCAAACCCAGCCAAAGGCATGTTTTGTTTGGTTCAGACAACTTTAGTTTTTAATCAGGAAATTTTACATAAAAGTTAAATCAGGTAAAATTCTATCCCTGGGCTTATATTTCATATAACAGGAGTTGGCTGGATCCAAGTAGTTCTCCAGGTCCCCACAGTCCCCACCACTCACTATTGCCTAGCACCTGGCCTCTTCAACACCTGCTTGGCCCTGTCAGCATCTGGCCTTGAGGTCAGGGGCAGAGGGGAGGACACCCAGAGGGCTCTCCAGTCTGCATTCCCCAGCGGGGTCACCCTACAGAGCCAGCAGGGAGGCTGGTAAGCTGCGTTTGAACCAGCTGCATCCACGACCCAAGGGCTGAGACAGCCCTTGAGCTGCTTCCTGCTCCAGGGAGCCTTAAACTGTGCAGCAGCACAACCCCAGGCTTCTCCACCCGGCATTCCCAACGTGCAGCCAGCAATGCTGTCCTCCTCCACCTGGCACTGGATGGCTTGGGTTTCCTGAAGAGTCTTTCACAATTAAGGCACTTAAAAATGGTTAAAAGTAATTCTTTATGGGAGGAATCGGCAGGAAAAGACAAGCAGGAGGTGGGGGTGGGCAGTGGGGGTGGATGGGCTGAAGGAATCTGACCAGTTATATTTAATAAAAAGCTTAAAAGCCACAAACAGGAAGCAGACCTATTAAATAGACAACACTGATCTAACAAAGGAATGTGAACTCCAGTTGACTGAAGCAGCGTCACCATGTCTCCCCTCCCTCCACTCCCACCCAGCACCCAGGGCCCCCAAACAAGCCTCCTCCTGCGTCTGGCCTATTCTGGGAACACCCCCAACTCGGAGTTTGCCTTGGGCTAGACGAAAGGGAGCTGAGGGGAAGGTCAGCACGATCCCATCCACCCCCAAAGAAGCAAACAGACGTGCCCTCCCCTCTGTCTGCACCAGCAGAGGCCTGAGCAGCCTGGGGAAGGGGCAGTGCTGTGGTGCAGCCCTCCCTCAGGCAGCTCTGCTCCCAGCACCTGCACCCTTCTTCCCAGAGAGCTCCACAGGTACTGGCCCAGGGCCTGGGCCTAAGGCCTGGACACTGCCTGGCTCACGCCCTGTGCATGTTCCCTGGAGCCTGGAGCAGGGCACTGGGCACCCAATTTGGCTGAGGACCCGAGCAGCTGAGCACTGGATTGGGCAGGGCAGGCACTTGAAGCTGGGTCAGGGCTGGAGGTTCCCAAGCGTGTGTTGCCTCACTTGCCCTGAGGGAGTCTCTCCTTAGGGTGATGAGGCTCAGCCCCACCTTGGCAGGGCCTCAGGGCACCGACAGCACAGCCAAGCGTGCCGGGAAGCAGGCCTCTGCTGACCACTCCCTCCCTCAGGAGAGGGCAAGTGCACATGGCCTCTGGACTTCAGGAAGATTCGGAGGCAGGACTCCAGTCAGGCCTTAGGGAGAGTGGAAGTGCTGGCTTTACCTGGTGAGATGCCAGGGCCCTGGGAGTGCTACTTGCTAGCTGGGGCCAGGGTACTACCCTACCTGGAGATTTTACTAAAAAAGCTACCCACACATCTCCATGCTCAGGCCACTCCTGCCTAGCACCCACCCCTCAGGACCTTCTCACTGGTCTCCCTCCCTGTCTGCAGTATGTTCTTCCCTGGGGATTTGTGTGGCTCCCTCCTCTCTTCAGTCAGGACTCCACTCCACCGTGACCTCTTCAGAGAGGCTTTTCCTGACTGCCCTGTCCAGGCAGCACACTCGCCAATCCTCCCGATTTTTTTTTTTACCCCAGTCTATCTTCACTCAGTGTGTTCACACCTGTCCCCTCCTGTGACCACAGCTCTATGTCTGGTACACAGTAGGATGTCAGGAAAATGGGTGTGGGCAGAGCGCATGAGTGACATATCCAAGGTCACCCCAATGGTCACAGTGAAGCGAGAACTCATATTCAGACCTTGACCCCCGCTCAAACCCGATGCAAACTCCACACCAGGCTCCTCCAGGATCCAAACTGGCTTTCCAGCCACAAATGTGGGACCAGAGGCCATGGTGGACTGAGCTCTGCACGGCAGCACAGCAGGCCCAGGCACTGTCAGGGCACGGTTGCTGCTATTTCTCCATGGCCTGCCCACCCCCGAGAGCAAGAGGAAATAACCATACTCACCAGGGATGTTGATCTTAAACTTGCCACTCTGGCCAAAGGAGCTGTCAATGATGCCCAGCTCCCCAGTGGACAGGTGTACCTTGAGCCCCACAAAGAGCTGGATGTTGGTCTCCTTTTTGAACAGGGAGCGGCCGATCACACTGTAGTCATCTATTACCTGTTCCCACACCCAACCCCGGAGAGAGAAAGCATCAGTGTGTGCTGGTGAAGGCCAAGGCCAAGGCCCGCCACACCCTCCCAGGTAATCAGTTCACCTTACAGATAATGGAAGGCACTGGAACCATTACGATGACCGGCCCCCTTGTCATCATCACCACCCACCACCACCGACACCTACAGAGCCAAGGCTGTGTGCCAGGTGGCTGTGAAGGCTTCATGTGCACAAATACGCTTAGCGCTTAGCCCCAGGGCAGCAACATGAGGGAGGCACTTTCTCCACTTTATAGATATGGAAACTGAGGCACAGCAGAGTGAGGCCATCTGTCCAAGGTCACAGAGCTCCTAGGGCAGAGATAGCTGAGAATGTAAAGCTGCTCCGCCTACACCTGCCTCTGTGTGGCTACCATGCCCCACCTGGCCCCAGCACTAGTCAAATGATAGCAAATGGTACTCTCCCTATGAAAGCTTTCCTGGATAGGCAGGCTGAGAGGATGATGTCCACCCCTGAGCCTGAACCCTCCTCACTCTCTTCCTGGCTCCCACTCCCATGAAGAATCTCTGAGAACCTGCTCTCTACCGCCCCATCCTGCTACATGCACACACACATTTCTGCCCAGAGCCCCCTTTCTGGCCTGGCCTACATCTACTCCACAGTTCCACTGCCCCCTCCTCTGTGACACCCTCCTGTCTCTATCTCAGCAGAAGTCCGATTTCCCTCAGCTCCCTAGTGTTTGTGCCAGGCCCTATGCTGTAGAGCTTGCACCCCTTCGCCTTTTGGTGGAGGCCTGGGCTGAGAGGAGGAACCTACATGTGTATGGAAGTCAGCTAGGTGCAGCCTTGATTTCATCACAAGCTATATTCATCTTGAACCTTCTCCCCAAGGGAAAAACTGAAGTGTTACTCTGTCCTTCCTGAGGTCTCTCGAAGCTTAGATTTCCCTTTGGGGAAGATGGCATAGTCAGGAGACCCCCACCAGATGGCCTCCCTGTCCTGCCCAGCTCATCTCCGGGGCCTGTGCAGAAAGCTGCTGGGCCTCTGTGTAAAGAGAAGGGATGTGAGTGTGTGCATGCATGCATGTTAAAGACCAGCCCCTCCCCCAGATGACCGCAGCAGGGCTGACACAATTTCTTCCTGAGATCTGCTGCTCTTTGGAGCAGGGCCTATGCTCCACCTGGACTCAGTTGCACTAGGTCCTGCACAAGGGCCACGGGAGAAATTGGGGAGTTCCTTCTGTTGTCCAGGCCCCAGGCATGGGCCTGGGTTCTTTCTGGGGACATTCTGGTCTGAGCAGGCACTGGCACGGGCAGCAGTGCCAGAGGTGTTGCCAGTGGCGGGACCTACTGCCTCCACCGGGCTCCCTTAGGGAACTCCTGGGGACCCCTGAGGGCTGGACTGTCCTCAGTCTCAGAAACATCTCATTTCTGCCCAAGATTCATCCAAAGGCCCCAGATAGATTGTTTTGAAAAGGAGAAACTGTCCCATTTACCCTAAAAACCTTTTGGAAAAACATATCCTATTCTATTTGATTCATAGCACCAGATAAAAGGTACTCGCATTCCTCCTCTCCAGGGTGATGGATGAATCGGATACAAATAATGATAAGAATAATCATTTCCACTTGCACAGCCTTTATAATTCACAAATCTCATTCCCACACATGAACTCCCCCTCATTCTTCTGGACTTGGCTTCAGCAGAGCAAGCCTTGCAGGCTGGGGCTGCTGTGGGCTCTGCCCTTCCTCCCGGCTCTGCCCTGACTGTGGGTGATGCTGTTCCCACTACAGCAGGCGTCCAGCAAGGCTGCTGGGTGAACTGAATGCGGATGGTTCCTCAGACCTGCAGGACAGCAGAGTCAAGATGAACAGATGTCACCAGCCCCAAGTGCTTTCCCGAACTTCCTAGCTCCCAGGACCCCAGTCCCATGAGAAGACCACCTATTCACATTCAGCAATCCAGCCAGGTGCAGTAGGTATCCAGAACCAATGAATGGCTCTGGACTAGCCATTCCCCATTTCCCATGACCAAAGGGCTCATTGCCGTCTCCTGTCCCCAGCTCAGCCTCTGCTGCTAAAGAGAAAAGGAGTGCCCCAGAGTCCCTCAACTCTTAGAGCCCCTTAGCCCCTCAGAGCCCCTCAATCTTCAGAGCTCCTCAGCCACCCCCCTCCACACCCAGAGTCCCTTAGCCTTGCTCACTGAGAGATTAGGGGGCCCCTTGAGCACCTTTGTCTACAAGGGTTTTCATTCCTACTTCAGAGCAGGCAGAGCTGAAGTCAGAACAAGACCTGAGTGGGCTGCGGCCACCCAAGGCAGTGGCACAGCAGAAATGCAAACCCAAGTCTGCAGGGCCCCTGCAAAGCAGAGCAAGACCACGCTGACTCGTGCCAAGCTGGAGAAGCGGTAGGTGGTGCTGCCAGGATGTCCTGGTCCCACTGGCCTTGACTATACTGAGACAGATATGGCTGAGACACAAGACCTGCTCCGACGCCGAGGCTAGCTGGGAAACGAAAGAGGACAGTGCTTGCACGAGGAGCTTCCACCCTACACAGAGAACCGCCCTTTAAAGGCACTGTCGGAACCAAACAAGCCACCCAGGCAGGTGTTCTCTCAGACAGCAGGTCCTCACCACATTCACAGGACCGTCTGCCCTTCTTCCACTGAGAGTCTGCCACATGCACGGCATGTAGTTAACAACAAATCCAAGCTCCTGCCTCAAGGGATGCATGCATGCCCTAAGAGAGGTAAGGTTTACACCCCCCTTTGTCCCATTGCCTGTGGACGTGCACTGGCAGAGACAGGGTGCCCATCTCTGTGCCAGCTCCTAGTGCCCAGCAAAGGTCCTAGTCAAGGACTTTGTGCCTGCAGTGTCCCGGAAGCCATGGCTCACTACCCCTTGCTCCACCCCCTTGTTCCTCTGCAACCCCTTGGCCCGTCTCTGTCTTCAGAGCACAGAGCGCTCCCTGACATAGGCCACAGTTTTATCTGTTACTCTTCACTGCTCCCAACCAGGACACAACGCCATGAAGGCAGAAACATGGCTCCTTCATGCTGCGTCCCCTCGCTGGATGCTCCCTGAGTGCACCCAGTGCTGGAGTAAGTTCAGGATATACACCTCACCATGGTTGCTGGGGCGTGTGCAGTACTCGCTCGTGTCTGTGGGCTCTCGTTTTTTTAACAGCTTCATTGAGGACAACTGATATACAACAGTATGCACATATTTAAGGTATCCAATTTGGTAAGTTAGGATATATGTATAAACTCATGAAACCATCACCACAATCAAACTACTGAACATATCTATTACGCCCCAAATTTCCTCATGTTCCTTTATCACACTTCCCTCCCTCCTACCCTCCCGTGCTCTTCCCAGTTCAGCTTGGGCAGCTTTCCCCACAACAGGCCCCTCCTGTCCTGAGAGTCTGGCAGTTCTGTCTCATCACTGACAGCTGGCCTGTCAGTCTCCCTCACCAAAGACTGGGAGTTCTGTCCAAACAGCCCTCACCCTGTCCCGTGGCAGGTCCCAGTAAATAAGCACATGATATGGAGGTGGGGAGAAGGTGGCTCTTGGCTCTTTGGGGATAAAAGTAAATGACTTAAGTGGACATGCGGTTGGAGGATATGGTCTGGGCCTAGCTGTCTTGCATACCCAGTACTGGTCTCTCTCAATGGCTTGGCACTGGGCCTCCCAGTGACCAAAGCCCTGGAGTGGCAGGTGCCCCCTTCTTTCTTTTGCTTATAAAATATTAACTTAAAAAGCTAAATGCCACAGAGACAGCAAAGGATCTCTTGTTCCCCAAGCCAGGGTCTTGCAATGAGGGCAGACTAATTTTATTAACTTCTGGGGAACTTCAAAAAGCTTCAGGGCTTTCATGGCAGACGGTGAAGACCCCCAACGCTGGTTTAAGTGCTACATAAACAGGTCTAGGGCCAGGAAGCGAGGGCTCTCAGCATTTCTTGTTTACATTCTCATCTGACAGAGTGGGCCGGTGGGCGGGCAGGGCCTGTAATCCCGCCGGTGTGCGATGCCATTCAGTTCACTGACCTACATTACCACAATATTTTTATAAGCCTCCGGGATAAGGTTGGGAGTGAATAGGCTTCTTCTGACCCTCTGAGGAGGCCGGAGGGGCTCCTCTTGCGGCTGGCCTCATGGTCTCACTGGTGGTAGAGTGGCAGTTTAGAAAGGATTTCAGGTTCAAAGGGAGCTCCTGCTTGCTTGCTTTATTATGATGTAGCCAGAAGATACAATAGCGCTGACACAACAGCGCTGACTGGGTGCTCTCGTTACCCACTGTGTCTTTGCTTCCATTTGTAAGTCGGGTGGTGAGGGGGGGAAGCTGGCCTTCAGCACGCCACCAGGAACCTGGTCTCAGGAACTCTGGGATGGCCTGCCCACTGAGAGTCGCACTGTCATGTTATAGCATCCTAGAAGAGTGGATCCTTCTAGGAGCCAGCCGCAAACCCCTCCTCTTGCAGACTCCCAGCCCTTGTCCCACCCTCCCACGTGGCCTGCAGCAGGTGGAAGCCACCAGTCGTCCTCAGCCATGCTCTTGGAGAGGTGTCTCCACACCATTAATTAATCTTTAGAAAAGCCCTGCAGGGACTCAGCAAGGTGAAAGGATTTGCCCAAAGTCACATATCCAGCTTTTCCTGCCTTGTGGTGTCCCAGGGGAACAAGAGCCAAGAGGAGGCGGAGGTTTGGCAGCAGTGAAGGAGCCCAGCAAGGGCATTTTCCATCCCTTGGGCTCCCTGGAACCAGGCCGTAACTGCTGAACCCAAGATGGCCTGCAAGTCTGGCCCAGGCACGGCTGCCCCATCTCCCCAGTCCCAACTCCTGAAACCCCAAGTTCCTGGAGGAGCTGATCTCCAAGTGCAGGGACCCAGCCCCCATAGGCTATCTACAGGGAAGGAGACAGGGAGGGAGGACGGATGGAGCGTGTCCACAGGAGCAGGAACTGTGGTAGGCCCAAGCCCCTTACCTTCAAAGGAAGATATGCCAGCC